TTATATAGTGTATTTAATTTTAACAAAGGCTTAGTTTTTTTAAGAAATATGAATTAGTTTATTGCTTTTTATCTTATTTTTGTAAATAATAGGCGTATAAAAACAGTAATAGATAGTAATTATAGCCAAGAATATTAAAAATATTGTTTAAATATTTTTTTTTCTAAAAGAATTCTTACAGAATTATTATTTTCTTGCTTTCTTTAGCTATTGCATTATATGTTTATTTTTTATTAAGTAATTTTTTTAAAATAAGTGAATTATTAATAAAATACATTTCTTATTTTTTTTTCTAAGTTTTCTTGATGTTTTTATTCGTTTATTAATTATCTTATTTTAGGTGAATATTAAGGTAATGATTTTATATTTTTTATTAAAATATTATTTTTAATTTCTTTTGGTTTAGATTTAATTTAAGATTTCAAATTTAGGATAAAATAAAAGTAAAATTTTAATTTACAACCTTTTTTCGAAAAAATGTTCATGTACATAAAATCATATTTAAACTCTTTTATACAGATCTTTTCCTTTGGATTTTTGAAAAAAAATAATTTATTTTCAATGTTTGGGTAAGTATTTTAGCCTAAATAAACTTCAAAATCTCCATATTCTAATTAAAAATTAAATAAGAGAGGGAATATTTAATCTTTACATTCTATTTTGTAATATTCATATGTTAATGAAATTATATTTAGCTCTTCATAACAATTTTCTGTTAAAATTATAGGTTTTTATTTTATTTTTTTACCTTCTAATTCAATTAATTAGTAATTAAAAATAAATTCTTTGCTAAAAAATTCTTTTAATTTTTATTAGTCATATAGTTTGTCAGATTTTAAATAATAAAATTTATTTGATTTTGGAGAAGAAATTTAGTATTTTATTTTTTGATTGTTTTTTTCTTTTTTTTCTTTTAAGTCTTCTTTATTTTATTCTTAATTTATTGGTTATTCTTCTAAAATTATTTATTATATTTTTTCTTATAGATTTTCTACATCTTTTTTTAAATGAATTTAATCTTTAATTAATGTCTATAAAAAGATAGAATTTTTTTATAAAAAAAGATAAGATTATTTATTCTTATCTAATTTATAACTTTAATTTTATTTTTAAGAAGAAGATCGAAAGATATAATTATTTTATTTAAATACTTGTTTATTATTTAAAATATGCTTTTGGATAATCAAATTTTAATTTTATTTTTAATTTTCGGCTGAAAAAGGACGCTTTTTATCATAATTATTACCCTCAAGCAATATTTATTTATCTAAATTATTATTAAATTAGATTCTTTATTTTATTTTTATTTACTTTGTGTAGAATTTATTTAAAGAAGATTATTTTTTATTTTATTAAGCTTCATTTTTTATTTCTTTTTTTTTATCATTACGTATTTAAAAATTTTCAAATTCATTATTAATTTGAATTTATTCTAAAGACATGTAAAATTAAATTACAACAATAAATGTTTATTAATAAAAATTATTAATAGTCTTTCAAGTATATAAACTGATTTTAAATAATTTCAAATTTCAAATTAAAATATAAAATTTGATGTTTTGTTGTTAGTTGTTTCTGAAAAAATTATTTAAATAATATTAATATATAAAACAAGAATTATAAATGAATTTTAAGATTTTTAATTATTTTCATTAATTTAAAAAACTATTTTTATATATATTCAATTATAATTTAAATTTATTTTTATTAATATATTTATTTATTCATAATTTATTTAAAAAAAAAAAAAAATATTAATAAAAACAATATTTTATAATTTTATATTTTTTAAAATAATCTTATATATCCATAAATCAATAAAATCCTTTTTTAATTAAATAATTCTTTATAGTATTGAAATTAATAATTTTTATTTAACTTGATTTAAAACATTATTTTCATTCTATATAAAGTATTATCTTCAACAACAATAACAAAAACATTTATTATTAACTCTATTCAATTTATTGATTTATTTAGGAAATTAAAAAAAATTGTATTCTATTAAAATGTTTCATTGTTTTATATAATATTTTCTCCTTTGATAAATTATTAACCATATTAAATTTTAGAATTTATGCTAAATATGTTCTAAATATACATGATAATCTTAAATAATATATTTGCTACAGAAATACTATAAGTAAATGTTTTTCAAATAATTAATAAACTGATCACATTCATATTAATTTTTTAATTTATTTTAAATTTAAAATAAAAATAAAATGTCTCTACATGCTAACCATCATCTATAGATATTTTATCAATTCAATACAAAAGTCTTCATAATTGAAAAATTAGAAAATATATAGATTTTTTTATTTTAGCATTTAAGCAGGTATTTTTTTGATTTGGTTTATAAATAAAATAATAATAATGATAAATCTGATTAAATTATTTTTATAAAATTATTAAAAAATTTATTAAGTGAAGATTATCATAAAAAACTTATAAATTTTTTAATATTTATAATGCTAAAAATAAATTGAAAACATTTTTTCTTTTTATTCATTGTAAAATGTAAATATTTAATTTTAATTATTTATTTAATATCATTATATAAAAAAAAGAAAATATATTTTTTTTAAATTTAATAATTAATTTATTTTCAATTTAATGGCAAACAAATTTTTTTATTTATTCATTTATCAAAAAAATCTCAATAGATATAATTTAAAAGACATCTGTTTAATTTAACTATTCAAAAATAGTCTAAAACTATTAAAAACTTTCTAAAAATAAATATTTTATTTATCCTTCAACTATTTATTTTACTGATTAAAATTATGAACATTAATTTTTTAATTTAAAATTTAGATTTTATTTTTTTCCAAAAAAAACTCTATTATAATTACACAGGTAAGCATATTATAATTAGGTCCTATTTCACCTGTAACCAAAAATTAAGATTATGAAAACAACTCTTAAAAAAAATTCTGTTAAAAAAATAAAACCTCCCCAAAATAAAGGCAATGTCTCTTTACCATAAAGCATTTAACTCGTATTTTAAATACTTTCTTATAAATAGCTTTCCATATGTATTCGATTGAATTATCTTATAAAATTAACATTCGAAATAGTAAATTAGGCAATACATTATATAGAGGATTTTCAGTAAATAATTTTTTAATAGTATCCATTGTTTCTTCAACATTTTTTTTGGGAGTAATCTTACAGATAAATTTATTAAATTTTCTGGTTTAAAGCATTTTTTAAAATTTGAGTTTAAGTTAAATTATTAGCTCATGTTATTTTTAATAAAGTTTTCCAATACTAAAATTTAATTAATATACTCTATTTAAAAAGCTTGTAGAAGATTACTATAATTAGGCTTTAAGTTTTAAGCAAAAGGATATTTTTAAAATTTTCTTCTCCCATACTTAAAAATATTAACCTCTTAAATATATCTTCCGAGAAAAATACCAATTTTTTTTTAAAAAGATAAATTGATATAAAATAAAAAATCATTAATATATATTTATAAATAACCATTTATTAATTTTATTAAAATTTTCTATTATTTACAAATCTCAGAAGAAAGTAAAAGATAAAATCGACTTGAATATCAATTATGTACGTCTTCGTTTAAAAATTCTATGTAATCTTTTGTGAAATAAAGGGGAAAAGGGTTAAATCCTAATCTTTCATCACCTTCTATTAAAATATTGGGTGTTTAAGCCCTTACTTTTTATATATTTTAATGTAAGGAGCAGCCCAGAAAATGCTATAACCGTTATCCCCTACTCCTTTTCCATATAGATTTTAATCTATAACTGCTGGTTTATTAAATGCTAATCCTTACATTTAACCTGTAAAAAGATGTAATTTATCAAAATAGCCATAAATAATGACTATTTTGTAGTTATCAGTTCTTCAAAGTACTTTAATATATATTAAAGGTGATTTATCCTCCTATTTTGATGGTTCTTATATTGTTGTTAGTATTGCATTCAGGATCGAAAAATTTACTAATATTAGAAATTCTTATATATTAAGAATATGAGCTTTTTAAGTATTTGTTTGTTTTGATTAATTAAAGATATTATAATATATAAAATATTTTATTATTTTCACTATTATTTTTTGATAGAATGAATATATATATTAATTTAGTTATTATTTTTATTGTTAACTTATTAAAATTATTAACTTTTTGTTATTATAATTAATATATAAGTAAAAATAGTTTTTTTAAATTAAATATATATTTTTTTGATTTCTTTTTTTTTTAGAAAAAATAAAAAATAAATTAATTTTTTAAATATATTATAATTTTTTTAAAAATATATCATATTTTTAAAAATTAAAAACTTATATTTTTTCTTTTTTTAATATATTTTTTTTCTATTTTTCATAAATTAAATTAAATATTAAAACTAGTGTTTATTATTTTATTTTATTTCTTCCCATATCAAAAAAATATATATAGTAAATAGTCTAACTTAAAAAACCTGTGGTTTTTAATTAGTTGTATTTAATCTATATAAAAATATTTAAAAATAATACAATTTATTATTAAATATATACTTAATTTATATATATATTGAAATTATAAAATAATAATAAATTAATTTAAAATTAATATAAATTTTTAAAGAATAATTTAAATTTAAATTTTTATTTTTATTTATGTTTCAAAAATATAATTTATTATTCTTTTTAAATAATTCTTACATTTAATTATAGAAATATAATATTTTTTTTTTAAAAAAAAAAATTTAAAAAGTAAAAATACTTGATTTTAATTTTTAAGAAAAACGTCTTTATTAATTTAAAAAACGCATAAACACACCATTTAATATAAATTATTGATAAAAAGATAATATAAAAAAATAAATATATAATATAAATAAAAAGCTGATAAAAAAATGTAAAAAATAATAATATTAACTTTTTTATTTACTTTAGTATTTTCTAATTCTTTAAAAAAATCCTTATAAGATTCTACAGTTTAAATAGTTGTAAAAAATGGAAATTAATAAAAAACATGTACTTTCACGATATATACTGAAAGAACGTTATTATAGTCAACAATTGCTGAATGTGGAGAAAATTGCTAATAATTTACTAATTAAAGTGCTGCATTAGATTAATGTTGTGGAGAGTCAAAATGTTATGGTGTTTCTACCTTCTCTTCTAATAATTAAGTACTTATTAGAAATTAAAAGACTCTCTCCAAAAATCCTTCAGCAACAACCTATTTCAGATCATCGGTAACAACAAGCACCATATAAGAAATAGTAATGTAAGCCGTTTCAACTAATAAAGAATATAATTCTTCTACAACCTTAGGAAATACTAAATACAATATCAAGTATTAAGAATTTAAAAATGGCCTTATTGGATCATGTTATGGATCCTGCTAAAGTTTCTCTACTTAAGAATTAGCTTTCTAATAATGTAACCCTGATAATCAATGCTCTGGTGTAAATTAATCTATAGTAAATGGTTAAACTTTATATTATTTAAGATCTGGTGATAAAATTACTTATTTAGAAGGTTTATATTGTTATTTCAAATCTAATGTTAGTACTTCCACTTTTTCTTCATCTTCTTCTTCTTCCTCTTCATCCTCTTCATCCTCTTCATCCTCTTCATCCTCTTCATCCTCTTCATCATCTTCATCATCTTCTTCTTCAGAATCTACCACGCAAAATAAACCCGTATAAACCGGTAAATAAATAAAAGAAATTGGTTTATTCCGTGGAGTGAAATCTGAAGTTTAATTTGATGAATACACAACCGCCGCCCTAGGTTAATGTTAAAAATCATGTTTAACTTATCAAAATTTAAATATAGCTTTAAAAGCATGTATTGAATCAAGTGAATAATGTTCTGGTGTCACTGGTACTTAAACTAATGAATCTTGGGTTTATACACTTAGGATCGGTAATATAATCATGTATTCTAAAAACTAAACTTCTTATTTCTTAAAATCATACGTAGAACTAGCTCCTCCAGTTCCTGAGTATACTTAAAATAGTATTGATGTTAACTTTGTTGAAGGAAATGCAAAATATGAGACTACTTATTAATAGATTATGAATGGCACTATTGAATAATAATTAGGTACTTAAACTTTTACTGATAATTAACAAGCTTTAAGGGAATGTAGCAAATAATAAAAATGTAGTGCTATTTAAATGTAGAATGGATTAATCACTTTAAGAACTGGAACACAAATTGATTATTTGGAAAACACAACTCTTTGGGTAAGAACTAAATACTACTATTCTTATTATAGCTCCAGCTCAGGCTCCAGCTCAGGCTCCAGCTCAGGCTCCAGCTCCAGCTCCAGCTCCAGCTCCAGCTCCAGCTCCAGCTCCAGCTCTAGCTCCAGCTCCAGCTCTAGCTCTAACTCAAATTCTGGCACCAGCTCTAGTTAGAAAAAAAGTATTAGGATTGGATTTGCATAAGTTTAAGTTTAAGAAAACTTAATAGCTTAAGAGGCTACTTCTTTAAAAAGATAATATTGAAATTTATTTTAATGAAAACTATATTTTAAATTATATAATGAATTTGATTATATTTTATACTAAGAGAATATGTGGATATTTTTTATGTTATTATTTTATTTATAAAATATTATTGTTTTTTTAATTATTAACTTTAATAGAAAGTACAAAATAAAAAATATTTTATTTTTTAATTTTTATTTATTTCATTTTTTTAAAAAATATTTATTAATAAAATAAAAAATATAAAATTAATTTTAAATAAAAATAATTTATTAATTTAATGTTATTTTATAATTAATTAAAAAAAAAAATATTGCTTGATATTTTTGTCTAATTAAAAATTTATTTGTATATAATTTTTATATATAAATATATAAATTTATATATAATTTTGGAAAGGTTAATAATAAATATATTTGGATAAAATTAATATATAAATTTATTTGGATAAAATAAATACATAAGTATATTTGGTGTTGGAGTAGATGATGCTAGGGTTGATCCAAAGGGGTTAGGGATGATCCAGAGGGGTTGGGGATGATTCAGAGGGGTTGGGGATGATACAGAGGGGTTGGGGTTGGGGTTGGGGTTGGGGTTGGGGTTGGGGTTGGGGTTGGGGTTGGGGTTGGGGTTGGGGTTGGGGTTGGGGGGCCAT